AGGCCGAAGAAGATGGAACACCTCCGCCTCGATGTTTGTCAACACGGTGGAGATCGCTGGGTTCTCATTGCCCCCCCCTCGCTCGCCGCCGCCTCAGAGCGGCCCCCCCGGGAGCGACGAGCGCCACGGCGTCGGAGGTCTGGGCCTGCGCCGCCGCCTGACGGCCGCCGCGCTCCCGCCCCCCCTGCCGCGGCCACGAGCGGCGCCACGGCCGCCGCCGCCGCCGCCCCCGGAAAGGCGATCGCGTCGTGGAACAAGGAATCGAACTCGTTGCCGTCGCTCGGACGTCCATTTCCCGTGCATTTGTCGGTTTCGTGCGTGTTTTTGTTCCTCGATGGTCCAGGATGCTCCTCGGTGGCCCTCGCCGAGAAAAAATGCACACGTCCGAGCGATGCCAGGACTCTATACACCGATGCTTCCTCCGGCTCTGCCTTGACATCTGCGCTGGGGAGCGGATCCTGGTGTATACGGGACCATGGTGTATACACTTTTCGCTGCTTCCCCGGGACGTCGGAGAAGAAATCCAACGGGCGGACCAACGAAAGTTTTTCGAAGCTTTTCGAGCGGGGCGCGGGCCGAGGAGGCAAGGATGCAAGGGTACCCTTGGGAAGGCTGCCCATCCTTACTATGCGGGTTGCCCGTAAACGCAAAAATCCTGGCGTCCTCATGTGAGATCCTGGCGTCACAATCTGGGCGTCTTCGTCTGGTTTCGGGCCCCAGGACCCTCTCAGATCGATCCAGCCCCAGAAAGGCTCGCGTCGTTGAACAGAACAATCCCGGCGTCCTCCGCGAGATCCTGGCGTCACAATCCGGGCGTTTTCGTCTGGCTTCGGGCCCCAGGACCCTCTCGGATCGGTTCAGCTCCAGACATGGCGCAGAAAGATGGTTCGGGGCTCCGGTCGGGATTTTCAAGCGATGTCTGAATTTGTTCGCGCCGTCGGATCTCAAGGTCTTCAAACCCAGGCAGACCCACGTCGTGAAGCAACACATCGCGACGGGAAGTGTTTGGCCGTTTTCGGCCTCCGGGGACCATCGCCGTGCCCCGGGGACCGTAAAAAACTGATCTGGGTATCGTTTAACCGATCCCCATCCCATCCCCAGCGGCGTGGCCTGGGCCCCACTGGCCGATTTGCCCCCTAGATGGGGATATAGGTCGTACCCTTCGGATTTCGAGGGGTGTATCCCCAACTGGGGGGTAATTTGGTGGGGGTCTCCAAGGGGATGGGGATGGGGATGAGGGTCGGATAGCGATACTGATGATCGGGACGAAAAGCCGGCCCTGGGGAAGGAGTCGGGACCTCTGTGGACGGAGTATAGGATAAATCCAAACATCGCGTGCCTGGGTCGCTGCCTTCCATGAGAACCGACATGGCAGACATACACCCAAAATAACAGCATCGTCATGGAACAAGTGCCCTTAGAAGGATGTTTCGAATAATATGTTATATACATACGAGAATACCAATATTGACATATCCATACATATACATATACACACACATCTTTGTATATACACATAGATATAAACACGGAGCTCTAGACCCATTTCTGTGGCCCCCGAGGCCCAAAACCAGGCGAAAAGGCCAAGTGCGAGCACAATCGCGCGACGCCCAGGCCTCCGGACTCGGCGCTGGCGTGCCCGCCGCCGCCAGCACCGCCGCCGCCGCTTTCAACACGTCGTAGCTGAGGGTTCGGCGTCGGCATCGTCGTCGGCGTCCCAGGCATCCGTCGCTCCACGTTCCTCGATGCATGGACGCCCCTGCTGGACTTGAGTCGGGCCTGCCCCTCTGCAGGAGGAATATTGAATATATATATATATATATATGTATACAAATAATGTGGGGACTATTTTTCGACTATGTTCCAATATGTGTGGTTCTTTTTGGAATACTTGTATTGTTTCGTCCAAACAAATCCGAGTATAGGAGGACCTGCCCGACCTGAGTCTGAAAACACTTCCCCAGGGCCGGCTTTCCATCCCGAGTCGTTGCTTGACGGCCCCGGGCCCAAGAGCCCTTCGAGGCCCCCCCCTGCGGGACAAAAAAATCAGAATCCGGCCGCTCCTCTTGGGCGATAGTTAAAAACGGGCCTCACGCGAAAGACATGGCGACCTTACGCGGTGGCTCATGCGGGCCGCCGGCGCGGCCCTCTGCATTGGAAACGAGGGCGCTTACATTTATGTCGGGCGTGTCCCCCTACATGGGGATTCTCGACGGACAATAAAAAATACTCCAAAAATGCTCCAAGAAGGTCAAGAAATATTGAAAAAATCATCCCCAGACTATTTGTTTGACTATTTTTTGCTATGTTTTTTTTTTTTTTTTTTTTTTTTTTTTGAATTTTTTGGTCGAAAATCCCCCTGTAGGGGGACAGGCCCGACTTCGGCTTACATACGCGGCACGTTACGCGGGCAGCTCGCGCGCCGACGTCGGCGAAGACGGCCCCTTTGTGTTCGCGTCGCTCAACTTTTTTGCCGGGGCCTCGGCTCTCGGAGGGGGTCGGCGTCGGCCGAAAAGGGCCCCCAGAGGCCGAAAATAGCAGGGGAAACCTCCCGTCGTGATTTTTTCATGACTCGAGGGGGCTAGAAGGCGCTGGCCCTACATGTACAGACGAGGCCTTTGCCTCGTAAAACGCAGGGGCGTTTTTGAGAAGCCCTCCCCCCTCCCCCCCATCACCCCCCCTGCGCGTGGCTGACTTGGGGGAAGGCAGAAGGTAATTACCGAGACCGCCACTCCCTGGACCTCTCCTGGCGCGCATTCCGACCAGGATCTCGTGGCGCATCCAGCCGTAGCGACGATGGCCTCCCAGGAGGCTCGACGATGGCGAAGGGTAGCGGTGTGCCTTTTCCCCCTCCGATGTTCTGGCCGCTGCACGCTCTCTTTCTGGGTGTACAGGCCCTCTAGTCCGCCACCCGTCGTTCGCATCCCAGCGCTCGACGTCTCGCTCACTGTGCTTTCGACGAACGCTCGATCGCAATTCGCACTTCCGTCTGCTGCCCGCGCTTGGGGACCCGCTGCGCCGCTGGCTGAAGCAGGAGAGCCCAGAAGCGAATCGAGAAGTCGACTCGACGGTCGAAGTGAATCGGATCGGCAGACATCGGCAGCCAAGTCGGGAGGAGTCGAAGCCGCGGAACTCCGCAGAGCAGTAATGCCTCATTGAAGCATGGGAATCCAGATCGGAATCCGCAATCGAATCGAATCGGAATCGGCATCCATTGAAATCACGGATCGAACCGAATCGGAGGAGTCGAGACGAGCCTTGGCCTAAGCCTCCCTCCGCTTTGGATAGCCCAACAGGGGGTCCAGCTGAAAGGGGGTGGTGCAATCGACTTGGGGGCAATTGTATTGCAAATGTATTGCGCCAGAGAATTGTATTGCATTGTATTGCAACGAATGTATTGCACGGAAAAGCCCAGCAATACATTCGCGCACCCGCATGTGTTGCACACCCCAGATCTTTTGCACCCCCACAACTATATTGCGCGTCTATTGCACCACCCCCTTTTCGCTGGACCCCCTTTTGGGTCAACCATGAGAGGCATCCAACACCAACGCAGGGGGTGGCCTCCACAGGGGGAAGATGATCCTAGATTTCGATGCTGGTGGTAATAGTTCGGCCACCCTGGAAGCAAGCATATGACCACCATCGCCGAGACCGGGATCGTTCTCCCTCAGTGGAGGCACGCCGCCGATCTTGGTGTTGGTGTCAATCTCGAGGCCTGCGAAACCAGATCCTCCGAGATATTTCCCTTTGGACGGTTTCCCCCGGGGCCGTAGGTGACCCGAGGAGGGGAGGGCGAGGAGGAGGAGGAGGAGGAGGAGGAGGAGGAGGAGGAGGAGGTGGAGGAGGAGGAGGGGAGGGTGGAGGTGGAGGTGGAGGTGGAGGAGGAGGAGGAGGAGGAGGAGGAGGAGGAGGAGGAGGAGGAGGAGGAGGAGGAGGAGGAGGAGGAGGAGGAGGAGGGGGGGTCGCCTAAGCCCTTCGGAGAAGGCCTCCACTGAAGCGCCCCTCCTCCAGGGATGGACAGAACCCCCTTTAGTTAAACGTGGCTTGGTGAAAACGACCTCGGGCCAAAACCTGGCGGGCGCACGCCTGGAACATGCCGGCCCGCGGCGCCCCCAGCGCCCCCTCGAGGACCGAAAACAGAGAATGCACCAATCGACGTGTCAGGGTGGGGGTCCTGTCCACCCCCGACTCCTCCGACCCGGAGATCCGATGTCGTGATTTTGTTCAATACGGGGTCCCCGGAAATCTCGACCCATTCCCCAGGACCAGTGCTTCGTCCTGAGTCGTTTGCTGACGGTCCCGGGGCCCGGCGAGGGCCCCTCGAGGCCGAAAAATATAAAAAAAAACAAAAAAAAAAAAAAAAAAAAAAAAAAAAACGTCTTGATTGTTTCAATACGTCGGATCTCTGGGGGCCCTGAGATCCGACGTAGCGAAAAAGATGCACCATCGTGAACATCCGCGCCTGGGAGCCCCGGAGCCCATCCTTCTGCGTCACTTTCCGAGCCGGATCGAGCTGCGAGGGTCCTGGTACCCGAAACAAGGCAGAAACGCCCAGCTCGAAAAAATGGAGTCGCCAGGATCTCAGGACACGTTGGATCTCTGGGCGCCGCCTGCCAGACCGCCGCCTGCGCGCCGCCGACCGCCGAGGAGGAGGTGGAGGAGGAGGAGGAGGAGGAGGAGGAGGAGGAGGAGGAGGAGGAGGAGGAGGAGGAGGAGGAGGAGGGGGGAGGAGGAGGAGGAGGAGGAGGAGGGGGGAGGAGGAGGAGGAGGAGGAGGAGGAGGAGAGGAGGAGGAGGAGGGAGGAGGAGGAGGAGGAGGAGGAGGAGGAGGAGGAGGAGGAGGAGGAGGAGGGGGACGAGGACGAGACGAGGAGGAGGAGGAGGAGGACGAGGAGGAGGAACACGAGGAGGAGGAGGAGGAGGAGGACGAGGAGGAGGAACACGAGGAGGAGGAGGAGGAGCTTTGGGCGACGCCCACGGCCAGCGACGCCCACAAACGGGGCTGGCCGCCCGCGCGCCTTAACCGCCGCCTGCGCGCCGCCGGGCTCCGGCGGCCGGGCGCGGGGGGCGCCCAGGAGGCGGGAGGCGGCGAGGAGCGCCCCGCAGAGCAGGAGCAGCCAGAGCGCGGCGGCGCGCTGCAGGCACGTCCTCGGCGGCGCGCCCCGCTGGGGGAGGGGGGGGATGAGGAGGAGGAGGAGGAGGAGGAGGAGGAGGAGGAGGAGGAGGAGGAGGAGGAGGAGGAGGAGGAGGAGGAGGAGGAGGAGGAGGAGGAGGAGGAGGAGGAGGAGGAGGAGGAGGAGGAGGAGGCGGCGTGGCACGCGCGCACGCGCGCGCCGTGCTCGCTGGCGCTCTAGGGCGGGCACACCCCGCGGCTCCGGCCCTGCGGCCCGGCCATCCCAGCGCTGGCGCGGCCCGCACCCCTTGATCTAGAAGGAGGCCGTGCAGCTAGCTTCGTTGCACGAGACACGTGCGAAGCAGCTCGATCAGGAGGCAACGACTGGGAGGTCTTCGTCGGAAGGATTGTGGAGGATTAAGCCCCAGTGGGGGGCTGTTACGCCAGGGTGGGCCTCGGATTAAGCGGGATTAAACCAAATGAAGCGGGATTAAGCGGGATTAAACAAAACTAAGCCGGAATTCGTACCAGGGCAAAATCAGAATCTGACCTCCCAGGAGTTGCATCCGAAGCTCGATGCCAAGCAAGCTTGATCTTCATCGTCTCGAGATGAAACACAAAGCGTCGTGGCCCGTGGCATGAGCAGCTGGGTAGAGGGACGGAGAGTGAGTGCAGACAGACAGATGCCGCCAGGCGGACGGAGCTGCGGACAGACACGCAGACCGACGCGTCGACTGGTACTCAGGCAGACCAGCTGATGAACAGACGCGAAGACAGAAGGACAGACAAAAAATACTCCAACACGCAGAAATAATGAAAGACAGACGCACTGACTGACCGACGGACGGAGTGACGGACGGACAGGCGAGCTTGTACCTGCACAGCCACCCCCACACGGTAGCAGCCTGCGAGTAGCAGTCGTAGTACTAGAAATGGACGGAGTGGTGATAGAAGTGGTTGTAGCAGCAGTCGTAGTTGTAGTAGCAGCAGTAGTAGCAGTAGCAGCAGTAGTAGTCTCATTAGAAGTAATACAATAGCAGTAGTAGTATAGTGGTATTGGTAGTGGGAGTGGTAGTTGTGGTAGGAACATTTGCAATGTTAGCTCCTCTAGGCACAATGCCAAGAGCAGTAGCTCAGTAGCAGGAGTGGCGGTAGCAGTGGCAGTCTTAGCGACATTGGTGGAGGTAGTGATGTAGTGGCTGTGGTAGCAGCCTGTGTAATCCCACCAGCTCCTCAGGGCGTACTTCGTTTAGGGCGCTTCCTCCTTCCCTGCTTCCCCTTTGGAGAAGGTTTTAGCGACCCCAGAGCCATGACCCCACCCCCATATCCCTGCCCAACGAGCAATACAGCAGAGTGCACTTTGTGGTAAAATCTGGGTCATGCTGGGGGGGATCAAGCGATCACTTTTCATTGTCTTTGACAGAGGCGAGGGGGAGGGGGTCGGCATATTGCCCTGCTGCGCGCAGGCCCATCATCTGCGTCAAAGACAATACGAAATACACTTTGGACCAAGATCTTGATCATGCTCGAGCGCCCAGCGACACCTTTGCATTGTTATTTGTCGGAGGTGATGGGGGTTCCCTGGCACGCGCAGCGCCCCTCGCGGGCGTCGCGCACCTGTCTGGCGTCTGCATTGGCTCCCGACGATTGTCGATGGCGGCCCATGCTCATGCTGAGACTCCGGTGCCAGTTGTGCAGTGGGAGGGCGGGCGGGAGTGAGCGAAGCAGCCGTCCTTCGGGGGGGCAGCTTGATCACTGTTCATTATTACACCCCCTCCCCCACCCGACCGGCGACAAACCCGAGACAATGCTGATCACCCTCCACACACACACACTCCCTTGTACAAACAATACAAAATGTACTTTGAACCAGAATCTGAATCATGCGCGGTCGCCCCGCGATTACTTTGCATACGTTTTTGACAGGGACTGGCCATCGCTCGGACGTCCACTCCCTGTGCTTTTTTCGGTTTCGTGCGTGGTCATTTCGCCAAGTGATCAGGGATGCCCCTCGATGGTCCTCGCCGAAGAAAAAATGCACACGTCCGAGCGATGCCGAGGGGACGGCGGGGTACCGTCATAATGAATGTGTGAAATGCCAATGTCACCCACCATCCCTGGCAACCAGTCCGCCACCGTGCCCTCAGCACGTAGTCGAGTGCCCAAAAGCTCATGCAGCCCTGGGGAATTCAGAGTTGCACGGTTTTGTCAAATTTCTGGGCGTGGCGCGTGCGCCCTCTGGCAGCGCAGCCGTCAAAACATGGGCCCCAAAAGCGCTCAAGAGGGCCGCAGATGCCTCCGAGAAGGCCCAAGATTGCCCCAATACGCCCAAGATGGCCTCAGCACGGCCCAAGAGGCCCCCAAGACGTCCCAGGAGTGTTCCAAGAGGCGTCGTCCCATGAGTTCCCGACGCTCCAAGACGGCCCACGAGGCCTCAAAGATCGCCCCAAGACGGCCCCAGAGGCCCCAAGAGGGCCCCAACACTGGTAACACGGCCTCAGAGGGCCCCAACACGACCCAAGAGGCGCCCAAGACGGCACAAGAGGGCACAAAGACGGCCCCAAGAAGGGGCCCAGATGGGAAACCCGAACGGACACGAGTCCTCGGCCCCGAGGGGCCCTCAGGGGGGCCCAAAAGGCTCCCAAAAGGCCCCCAAGAGGCCCCCGGAAGGCCCCAGAACTGCTCCGAAGAGACCCCCGAGAGCGCCCCGAACTGGCCCGAAGAAGAATACCTGAGAACTCTGACCCACAACCAAAGCACGGTGGTGGGATGGGCCGAAGGCTATTAGAGAATGACGGCGGGGGGGGCAGCATATTGCCTGCTGTGCGCACTGGTTCAACACCCACAGCCATCCCTTGCAACAAAAACAAAAGCGCACTTTGTACCAAAACCTACATCAGTCGCGGACGCCCCGCGCTCACGTGGCATTGATTTCTGGCTAGGTTGGCGACGGGGCCGGCATACTTGAAGGCGCCCTGGGACACACACATAGATAGACACAACTAACAGGATTCCTCAGATCTTCCCATATTTTCTGGGTTTTTGTTTTCCCTCCCACTTCCCATAGTGTCCCATATTTTCTAGGGAATCGACGATTAGTTGTGCCTGTGTGTGTTTTCCCTCGTGAATACTGTCCGTACAGGCAGCATGCTCTTGAGCAGACTATGGGGAGCTCCCTCTGCCAGGGACGGCGTGGGGCGGCATGCAGCCTGCTGCGCGCAGGCCCGCCCCCCCCCCCACCCCACTGTCACGCCACGAATGGACAGTGACTCTGGGTGCACATCCGCACGCACACACACACAATGCACAACACGTACACACATAATCACAGAATGCACAGTGCTCGCAAACTTGCCGTCACCCTGCAGTGGTTTCCGAAAAGAGCGGTGGGAGGCCGACATGTTTCCCAACGTGACGCACATGGCATATGCGGCGCAGCGCACCTCGCGGGTGTCGCGCACCTGGCTGGCGTCTGCACTGGTTCCCGTCGATTGTCGATGGCAGCTCCTGTCCATGCTGCGACTCGGGTTCAACTTTATGTGTTGGGGGGGCAGGTGGGCGCGAGCGAGACGGCCTGCGGCTTCCGGGTAGCTTGATCACTGTTCTCTATGACTAAACAACCCCTCACCCACACGACTGGAAGCCAATCCGGACCCGTGCACACACACACACACACACACACACACGCACACACACATATTTTTTGTCGGCAATCGCGAGCGAGAGCGCAACAGCGGCGAGTCAAAGTCCGGGCGGGCCGCGCGAGGGGCTCATTAACCAAGCAGAAGCACGCCAAGCACCGACACTCAGAACGGGACCAGGATCACACACACACACACACGCACACAAACACACACACACACAGACACAGACACACACACACACACACACACACACACGCACATACACACACACACACACACACACACACCCCACCATTCTTGTCAAAAAAGCACTTTGTCTAAACCCAGAGCGTGTGCGGGCGCCCTGCGATCACTTTGCGTTGGTTTGTTTTTTTCACAGGGACAGCAGGGTTGCTGCCACACTGCTTGCTGAGCGCAGGCCAACCATTTTTGTGCAACAAAATACGTAGCACCCCGCATTTGCGGATAAGAGTGAGGGGGCGGGCGCGGGCGACGCGGGCGTCGTCGAGCCGGCGGACCTCGTGGCCCCCACCTTCCCTGTCGATGGCGCTCCTCCTCCTCCTCCTCCTCCTCCTCCTCCTCCTCCTCCTCTTCCTCGTCCTCGTCCTCGTCGTCATCGTCATCCTCCTCCTCCACCTCGTCCTCCTCCTCCTCTTCTTCCTCGTCCTCCCTCTCCCCCCCTCGTCCTTCCATCATCGTCCTCCCATTGTCGTCCTCCCCCTCATCGGCCTCCATCATCGTCCTCCCATTGTCGTCCATCATCATCATCATCATCATCATCATCATCCTCCCCCTCCTCCCCCTCCTCGTCCTCCTCCTCCCCCTCCTCCCTCCTCCTCGTCCTCCTGCTCCTCCTCCTTTCCTCTTTCTCCACATTCTCCTTACATCCTCTCTTCTTCGCGTCCTCCTCGTCCCCTGTTTACTCCTCCTGCCTCCCCCTCCTTTCCCAAGATAACGGCAACGCAATCATTTTTTCCACTTTATGCTCCCCGACTTCTCTGATCAAGGCAACTCGCCAGGGCAAAGTTGCTGGACGGGCTGGTGTGGATGCGCGGGGCTTGAAGAGGTCGTTGCGGGCTCAGGCGGCATGCAAAAATCCGCCGCCGCGCTTGTGCGGCATTGGTTTGTTCAGTGAACGTGGTTTGGGTCGCAAGCTCTCCACCTCCACCTGGAAGGAATGCAAAAGCAGCCCGCCGCAGGCGCAGAAAAAATTGGTTTGTACACTGAACGTGGAATGGGTCGCGGGTGGGCCGCGGGTTCTCCACCGGGAGCGGATACAAAAGATGCCCGCCGCAGGCGCCGAAAAAATTGGTTTGTACCCTGAACGTGGTCGCGGGTGGGCCGCGGGCTCTCCATGAAACGAGTGCAAAAGATGCCCGCCGCAGGCGCCGAAAAATGTGGTTTGTACCCTGAACGTGGTTTGGGTCGCGGGTTGGTCGCGAGTTGGTCGCGGGGTGGGTCGCGGGCTCTCCACCTGGAAGGAATGCAAAAAAAGCCCGCCGCAGGCGCCGAAAATGGTGGTTTGTACCTTGAACGTGGTTTGGGTCGAAGGTGGGTCGCGGGGGGTCGCGGGTGGGTCGCGGGTGGGTCGCGGGTGGGTCGCGGGTGGGTCGCGGGTGGGTCGCGGGGTGGGCGCGCGGGCGGGTCGCGGGGTCGCGGGTGGGTCGCGGG